CCTTCATTTTCATTGGCTGTTACGCCCGTTGATTCATGACCTGTGAAATTTCACTAGGGCGGTTTGTTCAATTACCTCATACTTATTAATTGCTGCCTTCCGCCTACTTTTATGGTTCACACTGTCTATTCCGACGCTATATAGCGGCCGTATTTAACAAATTTAACTAAATTTAGCGACTCTTGGCACTTATTTCTACAGCCTTCCTTAACGAACCATCCTGTTTTTCCACCCATAAAATCCCAATCCCACCCGTCGCGTAAGACACAAGACTGGAGTCAGGGATGTATAAGGTCTAATACTTAAATTACTTTTGCCGTATTCAAACCGAACGCACTATAAGTCTATAAATGCATTTCACGCACTTTTAGATCATGTCTGGCTAGCGAGACCGATCGCGAGAACTTAAATGTATCGAACAAGGGTTTATTATTACGTACTCTATTTTTGTTTTTTGGAGTTGTTATTTTTTCGGGACGTGAGACTTACGTAAGTTTCATGCAATTTATTCATATATGGTTGCTGCTTATTTAATGTAGATAGCGTAATAAAATATAAAAATTTGTTGAGCATATCCGTTGGCCACTGCTAGTTCTGACCACCCAGTGAGGGGCAACCAGGGGCTCAAGTTGCATTGCGCTCAAAAGAGGTTATTCAGTCACAATGAGTCAGGTCAGATTGCATGTGGGAGCACTTCTGTGAAATTTGGTCTCTTTTTGTCCAATGCCCTATTTTCTTTCTTCATTAGGAAGCCACAAAATCCAAATCCGAGATCGGCGCCCTCCTTGAACGTTTGGTTGCAACCAATGAAAACGCACCTACAACGGAGAATGACAATGCTGCTACCACGCCAAATATTCGTATCCCGCCATCTGTCGCAAATGCTATTCAAAGGCGTTTCAACGCGGTCTGCCAGGATGCCCAACTTATGCTTCGCCGAATCCGGCGTCTGCATGTGCGTTGGAAGTTGGGCGATGAGATAGAAACCATATACGAATTCATTGGCTACTTGAACCATCTACGCTGTGAAAAGCTGGAGGAAGCCAATGAAAACTTAGCCGTTCTCGAGGTATGTTTATTTACTCCATTTATGGGGATATCGTACCGTCTAGGAAGTACTGTTCCCTAAGTGCCTTATTACAAAAGTTTAACGTACGTAGACTCGTCTTATTCGTTGAAGGATCTTCTAATAAGCACACAAACAGCGAATACTGGTATTGCCGCGTTCCTATTCTTACCTTTCTAAATTTGTCTTTTTGTATTCAGGACTTTATGACTAAAAAGGGTCTCCCACAGACCATGGAGAACGATATTGCCGAACTAACGGAGCTCGCTGCCCAACCAGATGACGTTGCCATTGGTGTTGCTAGTGAGACGAAAGACAAGCAGTCAACGGAGCACGTGTCTGTCCCGGGATCAGGCATGCTTGCCATTCAGATCAAAGCGGGGGGCGGGGCAACCGTTATGCGAGATATTGCGGAGACGGAGCGCAACGAAGCCAATATGTTTCTCAGTTCACTGCGAGTGAGGTGGGCCAACGCCCAGACCGATCTGTCCGTAATAGGGACCATGTCGGAGGAACTTTCGAAGAAATGGGAAGCGTACGAAACGGTAAGTATACCTGGAGCCCCCCTCCCCCCCAAATTCACGTCATTTTTGTTTGTTCCCTCCAATAAAAAACCCTTCTAATTTCAGGAGGCGGCTGTTCTGTTTTCTTGGCTGGAGGATGCCGAAGCCAAACTGCGATCTCCAGACGTATCAACCGCAGAGAAAAGGAGTCTTTTATCTCAGGTCAAAAGGTGGCGCGAACGTCTCGCGGTGTTGAATGACCTTGGACAAGCTCTTATAGGGCACTCGAGCATGAAGGCTGGCGAAGCTCTTAGTACTCGCCTGGCCGAAATGGCTCAGCGATTGGAAGTATTCACAAACGAGGTGATTGGTAGTCCGTAATTTATTCATTAAAAACTTGCTACTTAGTATTCCGTTGGTAGTATTAAATACGAAATATAACTTTAAAGGTCATCAAGCTGTGCGAAGCCGAGGATATAGAGCGCCTTCAGAAGGAACACGAAGAAGCCCTACGAAAACT